GATCATATTCGAGCTGCTTACGCTACTCGTTTTCAACAAAAGCTGAGAATACACGCAGCTTAATATTAAACCATCTGGATTACAACAATACGATAAATAGCCAAAATCAATCTGCTGATTTGCTTTCTAATGATTTAAAACGGTGTCCCTCAACGAGCCTATTATGATAGATATTCAATTTACAAAAGGCATTATTTGTATATGAACTTCTATATCCTTAAGTATATAATAATTAACGGCTTCGTATCCTTGCCACTGACCCCTTAAACATTTTGTGCGCATTTTTTCCGTCGGTTTGGTCAAAAACTGCTTTTACTGGATAAATTACTACGACAGTGTCACTCAGAGAATAAAAACACATCTTTCACTCGGTAAATACAAGGTCATCACAGACTGAGTACAGGTTCTCTGGGTCTGAAGCTCGGTTTAACCTAAAATAACAGAGATTTACTGCCGTTAAAATGATTTAGTCTAAGTGCGCGTTTGAAGCTTATCAAGGACAGTTATCTAATAAACTGAGGGTAAATTTATTGTCAACGAAACACACAGAGTATCATGGAGTTCTACTGTGCAGTGGCGATCGTAAAGGATACCTGTCACTCTAGCGAAAGACCACAATTATGCAAGTGCCACAGTTAAAGGACATAGAACTCTCGGTGTCTTCATTTCATGTACTTCGAATTCTTCATAGAAATGGCACCAAAGTGACCTTCCACCATTATGAAGCAGTCCATTATGTACGTACAGCGGTCCCTGTGTTCGTTCGAAAGTACGCATCTTGTGATTCCAGATAATTGATTCTCTAGCTTTATGGGACAGTACATATCGCACAACTAGAGTTCTCTAAAATTCGATTTTAGTTGTATAATATATTTTTCAATTTAATTCCTTATCTTTGAACGAGTACGTGAAACCCCTTAAAGCAATGCACTGCTTTTAATAGGCATTGATACATTCAGCATATAAAGCCTATAGGGAATGGGGTATGGGACTATATGAGTTACTCTGTTGTCTACGAACCAGGGGGAACACTGTTTTCGGAAGTGAATACCATAAGGCGTTCCACTTATTTGTGCCGATGAAAAATGTACTGCATTCATGAGCGCTGCACTATTCTCTTCACCGAAGTTTGGCGCGTAAATCAAAACTATCTATTTCTCACGGCAATGATTTGTATTAAGACAGCAGCATGGGCTCATGTGTATATCGTAAATATATTTATAAAAAATATACATACATATATATTTCATATTTAAGCACATGTTACGTGAATATACTGGTTATTTTCTATCTAGAAAGACAAATCGCTCTGTGTACGAGTAGAGTAACTTGTAAACCTTCTGGTTTTACTGAATTCCTACGTAAAGATCTCTAGACGATTTTTTTGTTCGACTATTTAAGCTTTATTTATAAAGTGTTTTTATTTATAAAAGCGAGCGAGGAAAATTTTCCTCGCTCGCGTATATTATTCCGTGGACTTTTGTAGCTATTTTGCAGATTTCAGATACGGTTTTTGACTGACTGGATATATATCATAGGAGTGATGACAAAGTATGCATATATACTATAGGAGTGAAGTAAATTGTTTACCCTATATGTTAATGGTTTTTCTTATAGGTATCTTAAACCAAACACCATTAGGCTTAACTGTTACGTGAAAATTTTCTCCATATGGGAAAATACCCTGTTTAAGGTGAAAATAGATAAAGGTCGAATATATGAATTTACGTGGCTTGATGGTAATAATATTTCTTAGTTAGTATAAGGTTATAATTTCCAAACTGCGCTTTTTTTTTTTTACTATATTCTCAAGATCCAAGTTATTTTGTAATACTAGCCCCAGTTATTTTAAGCCGCATATTGTTAGTTAAAGCTGAAGCTTATTCTCACATCTTGTCTTAATCTGATGTATAATAGTTAACATAAAATTGTCTACTTTGAGCCAGATGTCGGTTTTTGCTAACACGTCGGTAAGGTGGGCTGTCTGTCCTGTCGGCAAGTATGCTTGTGATTTTATGATGCTATTCACAGTACGAAGATGCAACAACATCAAACAGTTGTGAAGATTTTATTTTATCAAGAACTTCTACTGTTCTTATTATGTACGAACATGTTTTATTAAATTACAAGGTGCTTCACTGGAACCAATTATAAGCTTGTCAATTATCAGCTTTTCAAGTTAAGAACAACTATTGCTGCTTGTTCATTCTATTTAGTGGCTCGTGCTAGTACCTCAATCATCGCATCTTCAGTTATCTCGTGTAGGTTTTTACCAGGAATATTGTTTTTTAATAAATTTAAGTCTTCTCTATAATTTCGCTGAATAAAGAAGACTTTGACATAGGTCTTAGACTATCGCATTTATTTTATATTTTTATGTATCGATATCACTACAGCTATTTTAGTTGTTGTTGGAAACACCATTCCTTTTAGAGGTTCTTGTCAGTGTGCCAAAAGGCTGGCCATAGCCCCGCGTTCCTCTTTATAATTAGACATCGTACTTCATCGTGGCCTATTGCTGATGATAGAGACTTACTAGCTGACTGTTAGGGCTGGGCAGTAGTAATTTATTTACATTTTAGCCCGTGTTGGCGAACAATTTTATGAACTTTCTATTTTTTTTTTTGTCAATTAGTCATAAATGTTCCGGATTGCAATGGTCGATGTTTTTTTCTTCTTTTTTTAGTTGACGTTTGAGTCATTGCCACGGTTTGTAAATAGGCTTTCCAAGTAGGCGTCGTGACCAAGTATAATCAATTCTCTCTCCGTACGTTTTTTGATTTGTTGCGTTCCGCGTTATTTGTCTTTAAATCGATTGTTCTAAAGAAAGGTTCAATTTTTTTTATATGCTTTTAATCAAGCCTTTAGTTGGTCTGATTAGCGTTTTCGAACTGTAAGTTCTTGTGAATAAGTTCATAGGCCGATTATTAGCTAGGCTAACAAGATTACGGGTTGGGTATTCTGTATGGGGGTCCTGTGTGTTTGGTTATTTCGTCACCTGCGTAGTAGTTATGAATTTTATCTCTCTATCTGCCCTTATTTGATCGTGACGTCGCTCATAAACGTTTGTTGCTGGGTTTTACAAATAAGTAGTAGTTATCCTTTTGTCTTGCCTGCATCAGGTTTGGATTACTCTGGACAAAAATGATTTTGTCGGTACATTTGATGTACCATACGTTTGATGAATGATGCGAAAATTTCAATTAAATTGCTACTTCTAAATTATTTTCAATGAGTAGATTGTCCATATATCGTATTAACCCTTTAGTGTTATATTTTTAATTTTTGTCATGGCTCTTACCCGCCCGTATTTTTGCAAGTTATTTTTTACGATGTAGGTAGTTCTGACTTTGATGAACAGTGCGGTACCAACTTTTGCAGTAGAAAAATGAACGATATCCTTCTAAACTGCCAAGCTCTGTTTCATGTTCCTTAATCCATTTGCGCTTGCTTTTCTAGTCTGCTTCCCATGTTTTGTACATTCAATATGAATATTCTTAAAGACCTATTTACTACCAGATTTTCAATTGTATAGCAGTCTGCACTGATTCCATGGTCCGCTTGATCGATTCGCCATTGATCTGCTTTCAGTTCTGCCCTGTTAATACTTTTTTTGTTTGTCGCTGGCCGAATTGTTATTGCTGGGCCTACAAGAATAGAAATTGTTCTTTCAATTTTTCATTTCTTCATTCAATTTACCTTGTCTTCATTAATCAGTTCGTTGCTGCTTTTTGATAATGTCTATTAAAATATTTCGCAACAACTGATTGTTGTTCTTCAACTTGTTACGAGTTTATAGCTATTATAGGCTTAGCGTTTGCCCCTATTCACCTTATTAAGTTTACGCAGATTAGTCCTGACCTAGACGATCTTTGTATTAGCTTCGAACTTCCTAATCCTGAGATCTTGGACGTTCCGGATGTCGCTACTTGTTGTGGGAAATGCTTATCTGACTGGCGGTCCGGTTTCAAGTTGGGCAATAATGCGGACGTTTTTCTGCTGATTTTACAGCCAGCGCTAGTTTTTGCTCAACTTTTTTAAAACTACTTTAAGCAACCTTTGTCCTGCGATTCCTCGTTTTTCTAGCCGGCTAGCCCAAAAGTATAAATGCTTGTCATTTTTGTGTATTGCTCTTACTGGCGCAAATGGGGCGAGGAACTCAGTTCCGTTCCGCAGGCCAGTTGCCTTCTTCGGGTGTTTGACAAACTCGAAAATTCATTGCGTTTGCATATTTACTGTCAGTCAGCGTTAACACGTTTCAGATTATCTTGTCTGGTTATTCTTGAGTGCTTAGTTTTCATACAATTGAGAGTTCACTACGATATGGCTGAGGGTTCATGGATGGATCGGACGTAACCTTCTCATATGATAGGCACGCTATGGTTGAACTGTTATCGGTGCTGCTGGTGATAGTGTTCATTTTTTTTGTCTTAATGCTTAAACCGCTGGATATAATACATATATGTGTATATCTTGTGGAAGTGCGTAGTTTCTAGAAATGGACTTTATTTCTAATTATCGAAGACATTCTTCATTGACACACGGGATGCAGCATTCGATTGATGGTAGTCGTCAACCAGCACTTCTTCGATTTTTGTTAGATGAGACTGTTGAAATTGGCCATTCTATGCAATATAAGTGAAAGCTGCGGCCCTTTCAGGCTCGCTTATCCCGATAATATTACAACTTTTTTTCGTATGCATATTTTTCTACATACACTGTTATGTATTAACATAATATGTTAAGCTCTATGTAAACTCTAATCTAAATATATTAGAACTTTAATCGTATTTAACGAAAAAAGGATTCTAAAATGAGCTTATATCATAATATTAGAGGTGGTAAATAACGACCGGTAAGCCGGGGCGATAAACAGCAGCTTTCCGGGAATGAAATCCAGGAGTGCATATAGGTGACCTATTCAATCAACGTGGCCGTTGGTTTCCGCATTCATTGCTTATCATATCTTATACAGTACTTGCCGTTTATAAACTTTTCAGACATTCGGCAACAACTTAACGAGCAATTAAAATGGCTCGACTATCGCGTGGAGACCCAAAGCTCGATCGTCGTGGAAATCCAGGATTATTTCAGGAAGCGGGCCGAACTTGAACTCGAGTACTCGAAACAACTGGACAAACTGGCCAAACAGCTTTTGCTCAGACACAAAAACGAGCAAAAACCAAAGTAAGTTGGGGAGGATAGGATTTTATAGGTCAACACATGGCACCGTTGAAAAAACCGCTGCTACAAACGACGGAAAAATTCGAGAGCAATAATTCTTATTTTTTAAGAAAAGTTCTTTATTAAAAACATTTTTATTGTTGGCTCGTACAGCTCGATCTGATGGGCCTATACAGGCCAGCGGCGACGCTGTATGTGCCACTGTGTGGGGGAACCAATTAAAATAACTGGAGTGATCAGATGTTGCTTTTCTAATTTTAGTTAAACATCGATTGCGTTTGTCAAGAAAACAGATAACGGTATACAATTGAATGGCGTAGTTGGATCTAATCCATTCTGTCACACAGCTCAAACGAACAAGCCCATGTTATTTTGAGGGTATATCGGAATATGATTTAGGGGCTGTGTCTGTTGCTGCTCTCAGCTCGTGCCACTGAAGAAAACAAGAAATTCAGCTTCGGTGCATATGTTCGTTCAGTTGAAACTACTTGTCTTTGGAAACCCTCTGACGATATTTGTCCTTGTAAATAATTGTCCGTACAAACTTTTTGCGAATTCGGCTATGTCGTAGATTGTAATCCTTCTGGTGGACATGGCAACAACGTTTTTTTGAGCTGTACGAAATCGTGCTTTCAATGGCCTAAAGACTAGCACGCTTGAAAACTGTAGCTTGTTCGAGCGGTAAAAAGAAATTGTAACGAGATGGACAACATTCTCTAAGGCCAGCTTTATCGCACTCAGGCCAGAGTGAATCTTGTAATGACCGGTGATGGGCAGGTATGGCTTCTCTAGTTAACAGCGAGTGGTCGCTATAATATGCTTAAAACGATCCTCAACCATTGCCTCCATGATCAATCCAGACAGATCTTGGCTTCCAGCGGGGCACTAATAGCATGTATGTTTCTCCCCTACTAAAACAGGAAACATGGCGAAACTGTTTCCACTCGCGCACGCTATGATTTGTTTAAAAATACGATACAGGTAGAAATTTTGTATTCCTGTCAGCAAAATTGTGTTATCTCAACGATGCGCTAGGAACGCACGACGGTCTTGCTATGCCGGTAAGTCACGTGGCCGAGTGAACTCAGGGCAGCAAAGTCGCCTTTGAATATTTACCTAACCCTTAGCTAATTCACCACAAACAGGAATGGCTCAAAGGCGAACGCGTCAACATCCAACTTTTTTTTCAAACACAACCTTAGACAAAAATAGAATAGTGTGACATATAACACATATGTGGCCACTGTGGTAAGTTGTGCTCAATGGTAACTTAATTTTTCCGAGTTACTTGTATAACAAGCAATCGACGACATATTTACGTTCATATAGGCTCGAAATACTGCTGGCCCCTATAGCTTTCATGGTAATGGCGTAGCAAAACGTAATCTGCTTTTAATTTGGGTCTGAAGATACAGCACGACGGTGATAGACAACAAAAGAACGTGAATATTTCGCTTCTTCATTGATTAGCGATTATTCCATTAAATGCGAAGAAATGCTTAGCTACGCTATACATTTGCCGCTCCTTTTCAAATTCGATCGAAGAACAAACAAAGATGTCTTGATCGTGCGCATTTAAAAAAATCTCAAACTTCAGTATTATTAGAATCTGGAAGATATGTTTTCAGATTAGAAAAAAAGAAGTGGCCCATATAGCTCCATTCTTTCTTATGTCACTTCTATATTTACCACATCACAAACAAATGTAAAGAGAAACAAGAAGTAACTTGTGAGTTTAGAAGGATCATTTCTATTTCTGTGTCTTGTGCATATGTGCTTTTACCTAGAGTATAGTGACAGCAGTTATATTTATTATCATATTTCATGTTGTAGAAGGATACTCTAATGTCTCTGTCTTCATTACCATCTAACTGTAGCTATCGGAATCTTCAATCTTTTCTTTTAATTCAGTCGAATTTTCAACCTTCGTAAATCGAAATCTTATTGTGACAAAAAGCCGTCCGTATCTGTAGTCTCCTGTGGGTTATTTGCTAAACAAGATTCCCCCGAACGGTGGCCCTAGCGCTTGCTGGTCGTCCCTGAATATTTGCCACTATTAATAAAAAAAGCAAACTTCAGGCTCGATGAGCGCTTGCAGTTCGTTCGTATTCCTCATATACTTTGAACAAGTGAGACAGAAGCATTAAGCCTCTTGACAACTTTCTGTTGCACCAGCGGCGTCCGCCTCATTATACGCAATTGTTGCACTGCGAGTGCTAGCCGTCTGAGTGAGCGGTATTCGATCGTCGCTTCTCTTGGGACGCATAGGGGAAGAAAGAACAATAGGGCTGAAGGCTGTCGACACGCTCAAATTCGGTTGGCAGCACCGACCAAAATGGACACTTCTGCTGATGCTACGCCTCCGCGTATCAATATTTTTTACTGGAGGTCACAGTTCATTTATACGTCGAACGCAGGTTTCTTTCTTCGTTACCGACTCCCGTTCGCTCTGCACTTCCGTACTACTGGCAGACCGTAATAACAGGTTCCTTTTTTGTGTGTACATGCCGCTTAGTCGACTAAGTCGATATTGTTATAATAACTGACCTAAGGAGGACCCGATGATAGAAAGGCAAACCTACCAACTTCAGCATACTCGAAGTATGATGCAAGCGGGGTCTAAACTTCGACAGCTTTCATAGATATGGTTCGGGCAAATGAGTTTCAATGTTAAAATTGTTTCACGTGACACTCTCATAGGAATCTTCATTTGTTCTTAATATTTTATTGGCAATATGTTGTTAGGTTACTATTCAATGTTGTCTATTACCGCTGACTTCCAGGAGAGAACAATGGCACCTTTTTTCCTCGTTTCAATGCTGGCAGCAGTTGATTAACACAACGCGCAAGCAAAGCACCGACCACGCCAAGGTTCGTAAAATAGAAAATATTAAATGTAAACGTGTAGGGAAAAACTTTATAGAATGAAGACCCGATCGTGCGGTTATAATAGCAAACTAATACGGAGACTTATCTAGAGGGAGCGCCAGAATCTACCAACACTTTTAGCCAGAAGCAGGCAATATGAAATATGGGTATGGTATATTCCGTCTCTCAAGACTGTTATTCATCTTTGCTCTTACTATCTATAGCAACTACATAAAGCCCAACATCTTTGTCGGACCCCAAAAAATAGTATTAGCAATCCGATATATATTTTTATAGAATTCAGTGGAATTTTGTTTAGGTAATGTGTGAAACGAGGGGCAATGCCATAAGGGACAGTTTTGTCTGCTTTGCGGCTGGGTAAAAAAAACTACTAGCTTTCAAATCAGTACGAAAATAGGATGACATAGAGTTGCGAATTGTCTTGTCACGAGTTAGGGGCAAGCTGTGTGATTAAAATCGCAAGGGCAGCAGACGGGTTAATCATATTCTGTGACTCATCACTCTATTGTTTCTCTGTACGCTATCATAGTTGCTTTTTTTTGTTAGGTGGCTGAGATCTATCAGTCGCATATGATAAGCCGTCTACAACATGTGTCCGAGGACCTTCAACGTATCCATCGGAAGTGCCGAAATATCGCGATAGACGGACACGAGGAACTCCTCAAGATTCTACACGAACTCCATACGGTAAGCGTTCACATAGAAACAAATAACCGTTTACATAAATATCATATATCATCATAAATCATATATACGCATTATGTGCTTCGAACATATGGACATGACTTTTTATTTTGTTATTTAATTTCATTTATGGTACCAAAAAATAATAAGTTATAAACTATCGCCGTAAATAATCACAGACCATGAAGACGTATCACTCGTACCGCACGATGGAACAGCAGGCAGCGGCGAAATTATCCGTAGTTGAGTCGAATCGTGTTAAGCTAGAGCAAGGTTTGCCGAAGGATAAAGTGGAAAAATCGCGCCGATATCGTCTCATCTGTAAGGAATGGCAGAAACGCAGTGACAAACATGACGAGGCACGACTGAAGGCGCTCAAAGCGCGAAACGAGTATGTGTTGTGCACCGAGGCAGCTAATGCCGCCGTTCAAAAGTACTTTGTTGACGACCTCTCGGAGCTCGTTGACGCCACAGATTTTGGCTTTCACACGTGCTTTTCCCGCTGCCTACTCATGTACAACTCGACGCTAGCCTGTTTACAACGTTCGCTTGTCGGTTAGTAAAATAATAACGTTAAGTATACGTTGAACGTGTATTATTTTGTAACTATGAGATCAATTATTTTGTTAGTCTCTCTACCACAATTAAGTTGAAATGCAGAAACCTATCCATCTATAAACTAAGCCTTCTTTTTGCCATGCCCCGTGCTTCATTACGTACCCAGGATAAGATAATTAATCTCGCCGTTTGATGTTTACAGGGAGTCAAGAAGGCATGAGAAAATGTTTGGAATCACTCGATGCCCGTGCGGACAAACAGAAGTTTCTGGAGTATAATAACGCTGCCTTTATGGCTCCGAAGAAATTCATGTTTCAGGTAACAAACACCTCTGGCGATAGGCGAACTTTAGCTGTAATTGATGTTCCATGTAAAACAAAAACATCGGTCCTACGACCCAAGTGTGAATTTTTAACGAAGTTTTTTTAACAGGAACAGTTTGTGCATATGCCTTCGTTTGTGCTCAGCCTACACAGGTTACGCGTAGTATTTTCATCGAACACAACGAGGCCAAAATTGAGGGTTGGTAGACTATGTGCTGCTTAACAAAGACGAGACGAATAAAGCATTTCAATACTTGCCGCATAAATCTGAGTCAAAGGATTTTTTACAACGATATACTATGACCACTACTGTTTTCCGTTACAGGCTCATAAAAGCGATGTGGGGGTTGTTCTTAATAATGCGATGGCGAAGGATACAGGTCGCGTTCAGGTGCATAATCTTTGTTATAATTATTCCATTTTTTACGGATAACAATATTGTACTTGTAAAGATACTCTACAAAATCCGGCGACTCCTCTAGACTGTAGACTCGAGTAGTCTTTAAGTGAGGTCAGTTGTTTCATGGCGGCCATTCTTGCATGGACTCTCACGCAGGTGCAAGTGGAGGACGCCATCTACGAAGACATGGAGCAGCGTTTCCGGCAACTACAGAAGAGACTTTCTGATCTGAAGATCGAAAATGAAGAGGTAAATAGAATAGCAGGCGTTAACATACGCATTCTAACAACATATATACAAATTAATGGAATAAGATCACTGCGACGTAATACATGTGTAAACTGTAATTGGGAAATATCCAGAGTAGATCCTATTGTGTCTCAATTAATTTTTTTCAGTGGTTTAAAAGCTCACGGTGCTCAGATAGTGTTTACGTATAAAAATTTAGTAACCAGCCCCATACAATGCTGTACTTTAGCCTAAATAAATATCGACCAAATTCTTCTGCTTATCAATATTTTATGATCTTATCGGATGTGACGTAGCTACAAAGACAAATAATGACTGTCTTTTTTCCCATATGCTCGATGTGCTTTACAATACAACCGAATAAGGAAGGAAATAAGGCCGATAAGGGGAAAGCACTCGAATTCTGCCAAATCGTGCTCTTATATGTGTGTTCTAGTGGCTAAAGGACAGACTCTTTATAATAACCCTCTAACTGCTATTTTTCGTCATGGTAATGATCGCTTCATTTAACCATTTTCGCACTATCTGCGCGTTTCTACTATTATGCGTAGGTGTGGAAGACGCTAGAAACGGCCGAGAAGACATTAATGGAGATGATTGAGTCACGAGACTTTGACGTATCGCCACATTTCGATTCAGATGCTGACCAACCTTTGGTAAGATCAATATTATATATCAATTTTTCAAGAAAATGGGCAAAAAAACAGCGCTAGAATTCAGAATCCATCAGAGTTAGTTTAGTCACTTGCCTCCCGAATCAGTTAACCTTAATGGCTTACAATGTCCTATGCAACGTTCTTTCTGTTCATTTTAAATGCAGGTAACAACTCTAAACTCAGCAGTGCCGTCTGCAGTTGGCGCACATTCGCTGTCGGTCGATCTCATGAAGGGCCCGACTTCGCCCCTTAACGGTAACCTCATCCCCAGGCCTCCAGAGACTGTCGCTATCAAGCTGCGCGCTGACAAACAGGAGACTGAAGATTTTTATCTGGACAAATTCCGTGAATATTCGATGCAATGTTCCGTCATTTCTCGGCTACAGGCCCGCGCCGACTGTATGGAACAGGCGTTAAGTCGCAGTGGCCCTGGAACAACTGCCGGAAACGTCGAACGCACCAAAAACAACTCTGCTGTATTTGCTACAAAGAGAACACGAAGGAAGCGGATCGGCCGACAGGTAAGTCTGTTTCACGCTGTAGATTTTTATATACATAAAGGATTGTAAAATAATGTTTGTGCCTAAGGAGATAAGTGTGCATTTTTTATATTTTGGTTTTTGTATGCGCTCGCCAAAAAGGCGGTAACAGGCGAGCCGCGCCTCTTTGGTGGTAGTGTGGAGGAATACGTTGATGCGACGGGTCACGAGATTCCGCTGGTAGTTCGTAGTTGCGTTCGGGTAATAAATCTATTCGGATTGCACCATCAGGGAGTATTCCGTGTTTCCGGCTCACAGCTGGAGATTAACGCCATGCGGGAGGCATTCGAGCGTGGGGAAGATCCTCTCGCCGACATAAGCGACGCGTCCGATATAAATTCTATCGCCGGACTGCTCAAGCTCTACCTTAGGGAACTGCGTGAACCGCTCTTCCCAATCTTCTACTTTGACCAGCTCATGGAAATCAGCCGTAAGTATCTAGAAAGACCACGCCAAGCTGTTTCTATTAGTTCTGTTATCTGTATATCACAGCGTCCTCCTTAACCGTCATACAAAAGATATGCAATAATTCCTAAATCAGCAAAGATAGTTCTTGGATATCGCGGTGTCGCTTTAGATCCTATGGACATTTATAACTAAATATATTCCGCAAATTTCACCATTGCGCATGTTTATACAGGTTTGTGCATCAACTCTTAGCTATATATTCAAGCCATTTTTATCTTCAAAAAGGGACAGCGGGGCGATATCCATGCAGTAGGTCGGCAAGGCAGATGCGATCTAATGAACAAATCTTCAAAAAAATACTTGTCAAAATGTATGGGCATGAGGGGTAAAAACATGTTGAAGATAGTGAGATAACTATGCTTTTGGAGTAAAGAGACTAGCGTCATAGGCAGGTGGAATCGTTACCGAGACCCGTTTTCCATTCTGGAAATAAAATTGTCACAGTGCGAACTAGCGCAAGGTAATTGGTGAACAGACAGAGGGAATTCGTTAACTTCTAACAATCAGAATTGAAGGCGAAAGCTGGCATGTAAGATTCAATCGGAGTAGGGACTAGTCGAGGGGGCACGACGAGGGCTTTTTTATCAGGGCTAAGACTGCCGGTACAGGCGGAAAAAAAGAAAAGAACGGAGGGATTAAGGTTTGATCCAGGAAACTTTACGCTTTGTATAATTAAAGGAAGAGTCCGTTAAAATGGAAGGCTGGGATGATTTAGTACGCACTAGGCTGCCGAGCTGAGCAAATATTTTTGTGCTATTTTGCATACAATTGAACCACATGACACTTACTTGGCTAGGGCTGTAAGCATATCTTTTCTAACACTTGAAGGAGACTTAGAATTGTAAGCTGGCGACGCTCCTGGCATCGACAACTTTCGATGCTTTGGGCCACTCCTGCTGCTGGTGATACTACTGTTGGCCATTCAAAATTAGGTCGATCAATAAGCTAACTGGCTATTGTTGATCCTGTTCTGTTGGAAATAGCAGTGGAATGGAAGCTTCATTTACTTTTGTTACTCTTTCGATTTAGCCTGAGAATACATAACTATATATTACCAATTTTTATTTGCAGAATTGAGTTCAGAACTAAGTTCTAGAAAAAAGGAGTTTATTGCAAAAACCAAAGACGTGGCGCGGAATCTCCCTCGGGCGGTGTTTATCGTACTACGCTATCTCTTTGCGTTTCTGAACCAGTAAGATATCACACATTGACAAGTATAGAAGAGCAATGTCGCTAGATCGAACCATAGATATGAACACTTCTATTTTCTACACAACAAAGTTAAATGTGGGTCAGAAGAACTTTCGAAATCTTAATGAGTTTTTGTGTTATTCAAAACCTATATGGATGAAATGTTTATAAATATACTTGATAGGCTTTAGAAGTGGCTTCCAAAAATCACACACATTTTCTGAAACCTTCAATCAAATTGTTCGTCTTATATTATTTATGCTTCTAGTCTATCGGAGTTTAGCGACGAAAATATGATGGATCCATATAATTTGGCCATTTGTTTCGGACCTTCGCTTCTCCCTATACCCGAGGATAAAAATCCAGTGCAGTATCAGCCGCTTGTAAATGAACTTATTAAGGGACTCATCGTTTATCAGGTGATGTATGGTATACGGTCAAGACGAGATAACGATTTGTTTAGACATATCGTCGCTTAATGCCGAGTAGTAACGTACAATAAAGATCAAAATGTGTCTGGATTAGGTTCTGTTCAATTTTATTCATAAATAATATTAGATGTGTAGTGATCGTTCATCGTGAAGGCCGGGAAGCCACTCGTGGAGTTTTCTATTATTCTAACCTTCTTTCATTCATTCTTTGACTTTGTTACTTTGTTTAGGAAGAAATTTTCCCTGACTCAGAGGGCGGTCCGCTGTATGAAAAATACATAAGTTCTGACCAGCCACCGTTCGAGGACCTTGACCTGGACGTGCCACCGTCGGAGGAATCGCAGAACATTACGACGTTGCTTACCGACGAAGAAGCTGAGGTCCATGGACCTGCCGATGCTGACGGTTCGTATTTTCCCTCCGTTGCAAAGAAGTTCCGTAATTCATAGCTAAAAGTAGGTTGAGGCTTGTGCCGATTGATAGCATCAAGAAACGGGAGCTGTATAAGTCGATCACACAGTTGCTTGAAAAATTTTAAAAAAATACATTTGACTGATGTATTCAGCCACTCATATTTATCGATCTACATATGTGTATGCTGACAAAAATGTTTTATCAGAACCCTGATTACCTTGCTAGTCGCTAAATGCATGCAAATCTATGAAATGAATTATACTGATAAGGCGTTTAAGCGAACTTGTCTATTGCAGATCTAGTCAACGAGCCAGAGATCTCAATCCACCTTTTTGGAAGTAAGTTGACCTATTTTTCTATGTGTTGTTTGTAGATGAGCAAAACTCACAGATTGGAACTAATTCAGATAACTTTCGTCGTTAGACATTTTGAGTACAATACTGAGAGCTGGAACACGTCAACGGATGATTTCATCTGTAACTATCCCCGTTATGAAGTTGCATTGTCAACCATGAGTTGCTTTTATTTTAAATTATTGCCGATGTTGCCTTTTTGTTCTACAGAGGAAGAGGTACTGGAAGCCGTGGCCCAATACGACTTCGCGGCCCGTCACGAGCGGGAATTATCATTCTGTCGTGGGGACGTCTTGCATTTGTACATTCAGCTGAGTGCGGACTGGTGGAAAGGGTCTTTCCGGGGACGTGAGGGCCTTATTCCTGACAAGTACATTATGCTCAATATTCGGTAAGCTCCACTTTCTCAAGTGTACTTTCTAAATGTACTCTTTTAGTATGCCCTCATTCGGACATCTGCGTTGTTGAATAGGCAGGTCTACAACGTTTATTCGCGTCATATGCATGATTCAACATCTGTGTGCTAAAGAAGCAATGATATATTGCAGGAAAATCACTTACATAACCTAATTACGCTACCAGTAGCTGTTTCTTTCTGTACAACTAACTTTTTAATGTATCATTATCGATATCGTTTACCTCTGCCGTGCGCGCACAGAGATGTGGATAGAGACAAGATGTCCCAGGAGCGGCGAATGTCCTCAACGTCATCGGAAAGCCTCAGCTCGACAGGTGTCAGCGTGTCCCCACAGCGCCAAGCCTCGGAAAGTCTTCATCCTTCACCAAACCGGAATCACTCTCCGCCACCGTTGTCGCTAACGGACCCCCGCGGGCGACGCCGCTCGCTCAGTCCAACCTCTCTCGGTACGCCGCTTGCTGCACAACCGTCATCAGCCCAATCGAGTTTGACACCTCGGTATGCTGCACATGGCGAAAAAACGCTCATATTGTCAAGCCGCACAAGTAATGCGTCCTACTCGGAAGCAAGCCCTTTGTCCGAGGCCACCGATAGTTCATCGCGACTCTAAATTTCACTATAGTTAATTAGAAATTTTTTGAAGAAGCAATGTCTTTGGGAAGAAATAGTTGTGGAGCAATCAAATGTATCGACGAAGGTTTGTGGCGGGTTTTTTTTTTTAACAAGAATCAGCTTCTGGGATCTTGGAAGATGTGTTCTAGAACCAAAATAATGATTTAGCGGCAGTTTTACATAATTGATTGCTACTAAATTTCCGTTCTACTACTTTACGGGTTTGGGTCAACTGTAAAGTTTGATGAATATATCGTCAGTTTGAGAACAACCGAGTCGAGTTCCGAGTCGTTAAGTTGGACATATGGGTTTTCATCAAAGAGGTTTGTATAGAGCCTGACGCGGGTTTCAGTATGGTATAGAAATGATGCTAGCGTCTGTGATGTATTTAAATCAACTAATGACCAGCTTTAATTTTTTTCAAGGGAAGATCTCTTTGACATCATTTTACTTCGACTCGCCTCATAATTACATAGCTGACATTTACCTCAACCCTGTTCGCAATCAGGTCTTGTATAAGACCGTGCCTGTACGTGTATGAACCAGATCTTAGCAATAAGTAAGACAAAACGTATTTTGTTGTATTAAAGTAGCCGCCTAAATACGTAAATAATAATTTAATTGAAGAACTAGGTAAAATCACATCGAACGTTCGAGTTTTCTGTGCAGCATGGCTGGAAATGCTTATTTCGATTCCGTTGACTGCGTATAGTCGGTCCAGAAAGACAAACACTGTCTTCTTATGTATGTTTAGCTTTTCCAACGGTCGATAATATTATACTATTATTGCCATCTCGTTGTGGCTAGTTAAGACCACTTACGACGATCTCCCAACGAAGGATGTGTTACTATCGCTTGGAAGGGGCACATAATTGCCATCGTGCTAAAGCAATCTAAATAGACTATATTGAATATGTTTTCTTTCTCGTATGCCCTTACCGATGCGATGATCAGTTATCTGAGCGAACTGTCTTCCATGTTCTGATATACTTGTGTGAGCAGTAGAAACTTCATGCAACTGAAATAAAAGCGTGACACGAGGGCACAATGTCACATTCAGTGAGTGACTCTCACTATGAGATTCCACCATATTACGTACAAATGCATAAATACATGTATAAATGCTTCCGGATATGTATTTAGGGCAAACCTGCTAGAAATGCTGACATTTACTTAGAAAATAGTGTGTTGCTTAATGTCCAACAACAAAGGACAATGCACAAGTTACTTAGGAGCTTATTACTCAGCAACATTTAGGCCAAGTACAACAAGCACAGTCAAACGTGCTGCGATCTTAACATCTTATGAACGACTTTGTTACGCAATTTGCGTAAACAGAATTGTGAAGTATGGAAAGAAGCCGTTAAATTAAACTCTTATTTCTATTCTTACGTCTATTATAATAATAGTGATAATTATTATAATTAGTATTGACTATGCTTACTATAATGACTCATCGACAAAGTTGCTCGTTTACTATACACTTTCATTCAATTCTATTTCGTTATACAACTGATCAGCCGTACAGATGTATACAGCGCCCTATGTTTTTCGGACATAAAAGTAAAAACATAATAATCATCATTATGATAATAATAGCAATTAATAATAAATGTTTTATGTTCACCTTTGACCTGATCTGCTTAATTGCTTGTTAAACGAGTCCATCGTATATAATGTATGCAATTGGCTTGTATTAAACACTAACCCGACGACAACCCACTTCATATATGAGCTTTCTATACCGGTTGCTTTGCTGATTTGTTTTCGACATACAATACTTATAAAGGAAGTACACGTTTCTTAAAGGTTTCGGTTGCCTCCTACGCCATCTTGGACCCCCAACTGGCTACAGGTTTCATCTTTATATATTTACCAATTTAGACGCTCACATATATCTGAGTTTTGTTGAGGTTTTGCAAGTCTTTATTTTGTTAAAAAAAATAAATAAATTATTCTTTTAATTTATTGAGCTTAATCGTTTTAAAGCTATCATGATCTGTGTCGGAAGTGACTTGTAGCTTGTGACGGAACAACACGCAGAATCGTGCGTACCAACATCACAAATCACTCTTGGCTTCTTCGTACCTGGAAGTCATATTCGCGCCTTCGGTGTGTAATATGAAAGGACTAAGTATATAAATACCCGAAGCCTATCGGTGACTATGTCGAGCCTTATCCTTTCTTTCTACAAACGTTACAATTTCAAATGCTGTTACAACTAGCTGGATGTAAGTAAGCATAACCATAAGTAAAGACCAACATTATAAGCTGCCGACGCCGCTTCAGTGTGCCTACTCTAAGCTAGAAGTGGTCCTGATGTTTGTCAGTATGAGCATAATATCGCTGCTATTAAGCATTACGGGCATTGAAAGAGGTGCAACACGTCAAGAGGCTACTGCGATACTCAGAACTGGGCGCTTCCAAGCGCGTGTCCCATTGACGCGAGAACAGTTAAATATGATTCCTGGGATTCGTGAATACGAATAGTAGCAGCAGTAGGGTGAGTGCTTAATCTACATACTGGTCCGTTTTACTAATAAACCAGCAACAAAAATCCTGCTAGTATACGATCTTAAGCGGTAATTCTGTGGGCAGCACTAAAAATTTCCTCGATTCTTCCCTGCCGATCGACTAATGCTTTTTTCAATTCATGATCATGAAGCGTTTTGAAGCAATTCGTTTCTATTCCGACAAAAACATTGAGGTTTTGCTTTCAAGCGAGGTGTAGGTAAAAGTAAGAACTCTCTCGGGTTGATAGCTGCTTCAATATTTGACTCCACCCAATTGAAAACAAATAAATAAGGCTTAGATGAAGAACGTTGTACGATACGCCGAATTTATGTTATACCAAAAAGGATTCTGATATTGATAGCAAAGAGAAAAAAAACTACATTTTTAAATGTTGATTTTACAACAGACACGCTTTCAATGTGGATCGGCTATTTGCAAGAATACATGGTAGTATAAGTTAGCCTACTTAGCAGTTTTATTTCAATGGGAGCCTGCATTGGTGGTCGTCATCTAACATGCACCAAACATTTAAGACTACTCCACTAAAACAATTTGCGCCAAGAAATGCGTATTGGAAGTGAGAAGTACGCAGTTACTATTGAGTTTAAACTTACTGAAGTCACACACGATTATTCTAGTCAGCGCAATGATTCAGCTATTTCGAGTCCGGCTAATAAACTGATAATCCTTAGGGCATATTTAGAAAAGATAGATATCTGTAACTGGCTTTTCTATGAACGTGTTTGCACCATGCCGATTGAGTCATCCTTGATAAACGTACCTATTCAATGCTATCGCAATTCGATTCGATTAAGGCTTTAATTTGGGTTGGCAAACGATTTTCAAAAATAGCTTTTCTATTCTATCTAAAACTATCTTATTGTGGCTGTACAACATTGATACGTCTGAACTCGTTAGGATCTTGCTCAAATACGCCACAAGTGCGAAATCGATCGATAGACTAATATAAGACGCTCAAACGGACAAGCTAATAATACAACAGATGCAAAAAGGCACAAGTCGAAAAAAGGCTCCCCAATGTAGCCTGCACGAACGACGTTCTAGGCGACCGATAATCTCAGCGACTGATAATGGCTTCTAACAAATAAGTAGCTTTTAAATAGATGACTCTTAATAAAATTATTCTAAATAACTCTCTTTGCCCTTTTCGAATAAATGTTCAATCTTTTTTAGTTGGATCTTTTCATCAGTCCTCTGACGAAAATTCGCCTAGGCTCCTTCGAAAACCATGTAATGACCGGTAACGGCAAGGGTTGCCCATTTGATTAGTTTACAACACAGAAGCATGCCTGACCTGTTATTCCTGTCATGATAACTTTGTAAAAAAAGTTGGCTTTCTCCCAAAGCCAACTTTTAATGCACGCACAGTACGGCCTTTTTTTGCACTGAACATCGTGTACACACGAGTAATAGCCTGTAACCAGTCTTCGATCGTTTCTAGTAGAAACACAACTTATAAAAGAATAAATAACTTATTAAGTTATGTAAAAAGTAGCTTATAGAATTCAATTAAAAGAGCACATATCTAAACTTTGTTTGCTTGAGAACACGATCAGCAATGAACGTACCTTGGAACGTGCATTATGATCGTCGTCGCTGCTAATAGTAATTTTAAATAGTGTTAGAATTTAAAAAAACAAAAATCTGTATTTAATTGGATAATCAGAGAGCTCTTGGTTTTTTGCGGCTTTTATTCAATGTGTCCTACATGGATTAAGTTCATACGAGATCATTTAAGCTATGATTATTGGTATGATGCCTAACGGCTACGATGACCCTTTACACTGCTTGACACCTAAAACTGAAGCCAATGGACCTTCTATTGCTATCATAAAGGACAAACATAAATTTTCATAATTATTATAAACTCTATCAAGCCACCTGTGAAAGGCCATATCTTAAGGGAAAATGCTTGACTAATATTATACAAGAGGCCAGTCAATATATACAAGAGAAATTAATCGTTGAAGGTCTATTTTAGCGTTATGGTAGGTTCAATGTGATATCTTAACAAAAAAAATCATCTAGAAGTGTTTGATATATCATTAGGCTATCATAGTCAATGATAACATATGAATCAATTTTACTATAACTCTAATTATGCCGTGTGCATTTTTGGGTCCTGTATTTGTTTGTTTCCAGGTGGCCTTAAGCTGCACCAGTATCAGACGCAAATGGCTTCCTTGAAATGGAAGCTACGACCCTCAACAAGCGTGAATGACGCACTCGAAACAAGCACAGCGTCCTCGTCTTCTTTAGAAAACGTTTCCGCGCTCACAGGTAATACAACGTTCTTCAAGTGCTTGTGTGTCATCTTGCATCTACGCTGCCGAATCTGCATTTTTTTCGTAGTGTCAAAAAAACTGTCAAGTGATACAAATCAACGACGACTGATTATCCCACCATTCAGGATCGTGGCCTTCAAAATAAATATTAAACGAGAAAAACACCTTTTTTTTTTTAACGAGACAATGTTCAATTGCAGCAATGATTTTCACAGGGTATACTCATCTCAGCTTATAGTTCAAACGGTTTATGTTCGTATGTATCGCACATTGTATACGGTCGCCGACCCTTTTAACTCGTTCGATCTAATTGCTTCAGGCGCAGTTTCCCGATTACGTCGGCAAAGCCCAATGTACGCTCGTCATTCCCCAATTCTGCAAAGACGTCCTCAGCACATCGATTCAGGATCAAGTTCCGACCTTGCCAGGGACCTGTCGGAAGCTTTGCACTCGATTAGCACCCTCTCTATTGAGCACGGCAACCATAGCGAGGTTAGTTTGTGCGATCATCATATCGGGATGGATTAGCCCAAACATATATAATGACTGGTTTTCGAAATATAATGCGTTTCGCTATGCTCAGCTTTCCACAGATGGTCTCCAGCTTTTTTAATGTTTTATTTGTTTATATAATTTATTATTGTAGTTAAAGGTTTTACTTCTATTAAAGCATATAAAATCTACATACGAAACCGGATATGCCACATTTTCAGCATCTCAGTATCTCGTTATAGAAACAGAATTGACGTATTAAAAACACTCAGGAAATCATAAAACTAAATAACTTTTTAAAAACTTTACATGACGTCCCTAGAGAAGGTTGCGCACATTTTTTGAACTTCACAAAGTATTATGACTTTCTGCAATTTCTGCCTGAGCAGATAGTATGCTGAGACTATTCTTAATTGATTGGTCATGTTCTATTTCTGGAACCTCAAGCGCGACTCATTAGAATACGTAGCTGATTACTTAAACGAACTTCGATATAATGGGCTATATTCTAATGCTACAAAGTTTAGTACATTTGGGGTTTGGCACAGCCCCCTCTGTCATTCTCTCGGTATCTACCAGTAGGCAAAAAAAAGGACAAAAAAATGTTCCTGCTTGTTTTTTGTTGTATCATTTCTGTTTATTCATTTGTAGAAACCTCCTTCACCGCCACATTCAGCCGGCTTGGCAGCTCCACCAACCGTTTCCTTGTTGGCGAGTTCTCCGCTGAGCGGACCCCCATCGCTACCCAGTCTCGTGGGTGCAAGCACCACGCTGACCGGTACGGCTCCACCGTGTCTTGGTGCGGCCGAGAGCGTGATGGGCGTGTCGATAAAGAAGGGCGCCCCAGACCTCGTGCAAGACCTGCCGCTCACGTCGGCAGGCACCTGCAAAGGCGGATCTTCGAGCACTGAAGACTCGGAAGGTTCGCCATCACCACAGCCGCCTTCCTCCGGCGCCTTTCCTGGTGAGCCAACCACTGGCGTTCAGATGAGGGACAGTGCGTCCTCTATTCCAGCGGGTGCTCAGTGTAAGAAGAGCTCCTTGCAATTATCATCTTCATCTTCGTCCAGTGATCCGCACGGTCATTCCAGTCATCACCTGACAACCGCCGAGCGGTTCGCGCTCACCAACCAGTGCACCATGCGGAAGGGTTCACCCAGGTATTTTTCCCTTGTTTTCAACAATAATTACGATGTCCGTAGAATTTGTTCCTTTTTGTTCCGGCGTTCAGTTGACTTGAAAGGTAATCAAGTGATTTAATGAGTACAATACGAATTTGAGAAAGTTTATACCAATAATATCCGTTCGTCATATTACTTCACAAGACTAGTCTCCGTATACCTTGCTCATCTGTTGAAACGTTTTAATTCAACTCGCTTAATGGTCCTGAAGCTCCCATGTACCTTTGTCGACAAACAATGGGGCTTCTTGCCTTAACTTAATAATTTCGTTTATTTCTTCAACCCTCCGTCTCATAGGCCGAGTCCCCGCACAGAGCACGGAGTTGCCGCTGTGAGCCCGGCCCCGCCGGCTCCTGCGCCCCTAGCGCCCTTACCCCCTGGCCATTCAGGTGTCGTCGCCTCCATTGCCGGCGGCGGCCAGTCGCGCAGAAGTTCATGCGGTACGCTTTCCCCTATGGTCTCTTCAGTGCCCGCCTCGATACAAAAATTAAAGCGGATGTTTACCGAGCCAGAAAAACCCGACAATCGGGTTATGGTAACGCCGCCTCCGTTGAGCCCGAAGCCGCCGGTTAAAGCAAAGCCGACGGGTTTACTCAATAGACAGCGGCTCAGTCCGCACCTTGCCGCCAGCGGTTCTTCGCCGAGAGAATCACCTCCAGATAGCCCATCCGCTATTCAGATGTCAACCGGCAGCCAACTTGACAAAACGGTGGGCTGTAGTAACAGTAGCCTGCCCACACCTGGGGGCCAAGCAACGCGAGGAGGAGAAAGTGGATCGAGAAATGAGGGAGGAACTACTGAAACTGCATCAGGGTCAGACGAAACAAAAGGTTGCGGAAGCGGACCTTCAACGCAACAACCGCCACGACCCACCGTCCAAGAGTAGAAAAAGACCTCTTGTTAAACACACAGAAACGACAAAGCATGTTTATGGAACCCTGTCATTCTGAGCGAATATTGGTCAATCCGTCGGCATCTCGGTAGCACAAAACGCATGTGTAAATTGTTGATATAAGGCTCCAACCGGATCTAAGCGTAATGTGCTCCTCCGTCTTATCCTATTCACTAAAATGCCTTTGAGGAAGCGACTAGGAGATGGGTGAGGAAAAGAATGAGCTGTGGCCAGACCAGCCAGAACAAATACGAGGGAGACGGAAGATAGGCCGTAAAATTGTAGTTAAATAAGATTCAAGTCAGCAACCCAAGCTGAATAGATTGTAGAAATTCCGTATGTTAGGAGTAATATTTAATTTGAAGTTAAATAACAGAACCCAATGGGAGTTGTATAAGGTGAGTTGTAGTAAGATGAAACATGTTTTAGCCCAGGCAGCACTGTGATTTAACCGCAGCTGAAGATAATTGAAAGGGTCGTTTGGACTCCGTCGCGTGAACGGGCAAATGGGGTGCGAGCGACGTACACCAAAAAACAGTCTACAGATACAGCACTAACCTATACTTGATTTTCTGGTGTAGAATGGGCACCAAGCGTAAACGCCGACGACAAAATTAAACAACTAACGCGACCCGTATGGTGCATACTAGAGCACCTGAAACGCGACAGCAAATTGCTTAACATTTGCAGCATCTACGTAGACACAGTGACAAAAACGTTAATTTTCTGCCACTCTTCACACAGAAAGAGTCGTTGAGCCAGCTAGCCCACTAAAGACTTATTCATTTAAAGCCTTGAGCAGTTCGAGATCAGTACGTAAACCTACATAGTTTCCACTAGGTTCAGTGGGACAATCACGACAACGTGTTTCTTTCTAGCCTATTTGTCTGCGTCGCGAATCGGCACTTTGTATCACCTAAATACAGAATTATCTACATCAATATTATATTATCTTATCAGTCTTATAAACTATGCGTTAATAACAGTAACGATTTGAATACTATGAGTTATTTACGATTACGGTTATTACGATTTGAATATTATGAGTATGCTACAATGCTTGCATGCTCGTTTTAACAATGTGACCGGATCAGAATATTTTGCTGTATCCAGATTCGCATTCTCTGTTCTGCATTTTCACCATTTACGTTATCAGTTTCGTCACGTATAATACGAACAAGTTATTCTCCTCAGAATGATTAGTAATTGTCGGATATGAAATGGGGGAAAGGCCGCGACCTGGTGTTTGAAATTCGTTGCCAGGGATTTCAATTCTGGGTCCGACTCTTGGCTACCCGTCGTGGTTCGTGACAACTGGTTGTCCCAAATACTAAATAGCGTGTAAAGTAGTTCTGCTCGTCGCGGTGCTCACGTGACAGATGCGCGTCTGCTAGTACAACGTTGGTCCCGACGGCTTCATTCCAACTCATTAAATAACTTCCAATATATGGAACGCCATTCGCGTCACCAACCCTATCTGTGCGTAAATTCAGAAGTCGCGATCACTGAGACTTGCAGGCCCCAATACCTACAAAAACTGGATTATGCAAATTATCAAAAGAGAGTATGTCTGTACGATATAAAGAGGACGATATAAGCAGGCATGCATGCATGCATGCCCATATATTGCCATCCTAGCTCGATCTGACGCGTTTACATTCGAGGGCGTTCAGGGGAGCACATAGGCCAACAAATTCATTTTATGCATGTAATTCCTTGGCCCAAATGGTCCAGTCCTAACTATATATATATATAACCGAAATGAGTGGTGGGTTATGATCAAGGATTCATAGGACGAGTCGATGCATGACAGTTACAGACTTGCTATAGAGAATGACATAATCTGTCCACAAAAAAAGACTCATTGTATATCTACCTGCAGTACCAATTGAGCATGTGTTATTATAATTGACATCAACAACTACACCGACATAGACATACAGCCGTAGATAAATATCACACACAAATATCACGCAGTAGACCAATGATGAACATACTGAGATTTCGCAATACAAGCGGATTGTATTTTTACGTTGGATTATAGAGGTGTATGTCGTATTTATAACTTTGTAACACTCATCCTCTGCGACGATATATATACACTTTAGCTTGACGATACTTACAATAGTAAAATAGAATAAATCAATACTATTACTGACTGATTGCCTATTGTACTGCAATGGCTTTCTTCTGTAACTGAGGGAAGCTCAGCGCCTACAGACTGGTACCGAACCCAATGGATGAATGAACATTGATCAACCTAAAGCTACTATAATGAAGAAATGAGTATATATGCGAGAGAGTGATGTTAACAGACGCATCAGTCACTAAAAAATATCGGCGTGGTAATAATGACAGTAATACGATTATAAATTGTAACATTACAGGACTGGCAATGGAACACATAATTAATTGTATAGTACTTGATAAGTTTTCAAAAAGTGGAACATAATCTCTGCAGATGTGTTATAGATTAGGTGAAATGATCGCATTGCTTTCATCGTTCATTCATACCAGGTACGATACTGTTTTAATAGGTGGCCGCCTCTTTTGCAAGCACTATACGCATGAACGGATTGGAAGAGTCCGTTACGTGTCGCTTTGTCGCACGAGTCGATGTCAACCGATAAAATAGATAAGCGTTTCTTGGCCCTGAAAAGGTCTGTATCCGACAACCGGTTTTTTACCTGATCTATGTTTGCAAATACTCTGACCAAAATTCGCCTATCGTAAGCAGAACAGTAGGTAAATGACATGAATATGAAAGTATAACTATGCTGATAATAAGAATATCAAGGAATAATCGGATAACGTACAAAACGAAACAGATGCAAATAAGGTTAGTTAAGATCGGTAATGAATGCAGACAGAAAAGACTAATTGAGAAGAGGAAGCAGGTCAAGCTTATTGAAGAAGATGCGCTCTAGAATCAGACTTTTCAACATGATTATTCCTAATAGTTTGCACAGTGCACAGTACACTGGTAAAAACAATATATATATATATATATATATATATATATATATATATAAAGCTGTTACAAGTGAATCCGGTGGACTTGAAACTGAAAAACTTTCGAATTACGCGCCGCTAGCAGACGAAATTTGCCTGATAAATACTCTAATTTTCTAGAAACTTATGTGTGAAAATAGGTCTTTCCAGGTTTTTCTAGGGTAAACCAATTCAGGAAGAAAATACTTCCTCGTCCCAAAAATTAGCGCTGAGTAGCAAGCTTTTGTTCTTCAAAGCCTACAGTACCGCAATCATTCATCAAAGATTGGCGACAATACTAGGTACAAAGTGAAAGCACAACATGTAAATAGTTTCAAGGACGGAGAATGTAATGTTGAAGACCAGCGAGTAAATACTTAGATGTTACCCGAAAAGCAAGAACGCATTGCTGCTATCGAGAGAACTTCTTGCGAAAACAAAGCTCGGAGTCTAAAAGCTTTGTCGACCAAAACTGGCATTTCACATGTAACGTGTTATAGAATTGTAACTCGAATACCGAAAACGAGGAAACAGTAAAAAAAATAGGTTGTTCGTGAATTAACCCCAGGCCGGTTGAGGATACGTGTGGTTTAATCCAAGTGCAATTTACGGAATTTAAACCGGCTTTAAAAAAGCTGTCTGTAGCATGTGGTTGCCATAGAAGAGGTGTAATTTCTACCACAAGCTGGCGTCACTCTAGGGAGATGAAGTCCGGTGGAAGCGTCTGTAATCGACATCAGAGGCGCCTGCTTTTAATGGATACTCGTTGAAAATGAAACAATGAACGCAGTTGATTACCTCGAGTTTTTCAAGAAACTCATGGACTGTTGTTCGGGCGATCGAAAGCACAGAGTCTGACTACCTGATTATAACGCTAGCCGTCATCGCCACGCCTTAGTAATTGAGATATTAAGTAAGTAAAAGAATCTCCAACGTTGCCTTCAACCTGTCTATCTTTTCGAGCTAAATATACGTGATTAGAGGGCTTCCCATCTCAGAAAAAGGACCAGTGGCGGGCAAGCATACCCCACTATCGACATCCCTAGAGAAATTATGTAAAAGAACGCGAATGGTAGGTATACGTCTAGAAGCTACGAGAGCGGTGGCACAATTATGTAAAAATAAAGGAGAATACCTCTAACACATATTAAAATATATACAAACCATCATTCTAGCCCAACTAGTTCAAAAGTTATTCAATTCTAAAGTCCGCCGGATGCGCTTGTAACAACCTAATGGAAAGTAGGACTGTTCTCAGGTTGCAGAAATTGTCATGCAATCATGGCAGATGCGTTTATTATAAAATTTATTATTATTAAATTATATTATTAGATATTAAATGTTGCTTGATGACGCAAATAAAGAGAAGCGCAGTCCTTCGTGCGTACCTCAGTAGGATCGAAAAGGTTAAGATAATTCTAATGTATTATATATATGCATTAGTTTACGCACGAAGATATTTCCAGTCGAGAGTTTGTCTACAATGGCTTTCTCTATCCGTTAGCCCGGAAATTTTGCATCTCTTTGTATTTACATGATCTTATGTTTTCACCTTTTTATTGGTGATTCAAGCAAACGTTCTAGTATATCGCTGAATACTTAATGAATGCAGTGCAAGAGGAACCGTGTAGAGGCTGGTTAAGTATTATCCTTGTCCATTGCTTCATATTAGGAACGATGCAGCATCGAAATCAATTGCTATAAATACAATTACTGGCTGCAATGACTGTGAAATGCTCAATTTGAGTATTTTCATATAAATATACAGTTAATTTTATAGTTCGAAAGCTTCATACAACTACATGAACGGCAAAAGTGATCATTACTATCATCTAATGAAGATCCAATATAAATTGCAGGACTCACGTTCTGTGCTAGTGACAGATGCATCATCATCACTCTCGTATGTAATGATATGTGCATTACGACCTGTATAATATATATCTTTCTCCCTTGCTACACGATTTTAATCTTACTATGAAATGTCTGCATGTGTATTGAAGTACTATATATCAATTTGGATAACATATGTATAGTAGGTACTTGTGCACACTAAAAAGGGACGAAGCGTCAATTCATTGGATGCTAGAATGTATACTTACTCAGCCTAATATCTATTTAAAAAAATACCGCTAACGTTAACCATATATATACAAATAATAGTGATAGTAATAACAATACCAACACCTAAGAAAAATTATGGTAACTATTTTCATGTTATTATGTAAAGAATCCCAATAAAAAATATATTATGTCCATGTAACTAATGTAAAGGTTATGTTCATTCTTATAATGGAAGTAAAATTTTTTAACATTTAAGCAACCCTGAATTTCAAAAAAAATTTTCGAAAAAAGTTTCGTTAAAGTAATAATTACAGTGTAGGTGGCGCTCCCCGCGTTTGACTAAATTAGGAGCCTACAAAATAAATGTCTCGATATGAGTTACACGTTTCTTAAATCTGATTAAATTGGCTTTATGATTGTGGATAGCAGTTTTTGGTAGTTCTAACTTACTCCAGCCACTACTCTAGTGTGTAGTTTATTATTAACCTTCGGTTTATTAGCCTATGGTTCGTGGTTAGTCCATGGCTTATATCGAATCGTAACTTACTTGGTCTGTATTCTGCGGTCAAACCGGAATTCATGTAACGTCTGTCTTGGAATGACGAGAATAATATAACAATCTCTCTTCCTCTCCCCCCGCTCTCTCCCTTGCTCTCTCTCTCCATATATATATACAACTAACCACATGCCATATCGCATCTTTAGACCATATATTATTCTAATTAAATTCAAATTGAATATCTGCTTGTACTCTGAAACGTCCCAAACATGGGTAGGACTTAAAAAGCTACATAAATCATTTAGAATAACTTAGCCCGAAGCTTTAATTTTGAAACAAATGAAATATGATCCTATTCTAACTATAAATGGTAAGCGCTCAATTACGAATTTCTATGGTAACTAAGAGTAGACTCTGAAGACCGTCAACTCAATTCGTTCAACTCAGATCCGAGGTAAAAATTAAGATTTTGCTAATTAAAGTAAACAAGAAAATTATTTTCATAAGTCAAGTACATTTTAGATCGTTTATAAGATAGTTGCTATCGAAGTAGCTGACTTGTTTATTCCTTATATTTACCACATTAGAAGGGTAATATAGTGCTTGAAAGCTTGAAAAAAACAAAACTAAATCATTTGGCCTGACAGTCAAAGAAATACTAACCTATATTTTAATTGAATTATTTATTCATTTATTGTTCATTGAAAACTTTTAGGCGCAAATTAGTATGCTTTTACAGATGGTATAGGATGGAATCGTTATTGCACCAAAAAAAGGAGAAAATAACGAAACGTACTTCTCAATGCCTAGGTCAATAGCCTACTAATTCAGTATCTATTTAAGGTAAAGCCATCCTTAAGTCAGGGGCACCGTATGTCACCCTTATGTGTGTAGCCAATGCGAAGACGTTGTTTTGGGTGTGGGTCACCACATACTATGTCGCAATACTATATCCTAATTTACGAGACCTATGTAGACCTGATGATCTGGGCAGGCGAATATAAATGGCAGATAAAGTTGATATTCTTAGCGATCACAAGTTTAATCTGTAAAGTCGAGGCGGGAGAGGTAGTAAGTTTAAATGAAGGTCCCACCGAAGAGGAAGCCAAGGAATTAGAGAAAGAGGTGCCGATGTGACTGAGTTGCAGTCGAGACTACCGTGCGTTCCAAAAGGTCTCTGAACACGGATTCGTGACGAAGATATTGACCACTACTTGCAACACCGTGAAAACTAAGTACATTCCGTGAAGTATCCAACAGATGAAATGGACTCGTTAAAGAAAAGGAAGACGATCCATAAAAGGCAAAAGGCCACAAAATAATTGGAACTAAAGTAGATGAAACGGCGTTTAGACTGCCGAATCCACTGACCAGGGAGATGGTCAAAAAACGGTTGTCAATGCGTCAAAGACAAAGAAAATAAGAAGCGACTTAATTTCAGGAGAGTACTGGCTTGTTCCGGGAAAAGGTTGCAGAAACGGGTGAGAGGAGAATGCTGGGAAAGTAGCGGAGCCGGATAAGCCATAACCAAAAGCTATAAAGTACTTGCTAATCAACTGCCTGGAAACCTTCCAACAATTGGCCAGTGAACTTTTGCAAGAAGGTCACTTGTCGAAGCACAACACTGAAACTAGCTTGCTGTACACATTCTGATAAACTTGTTAGGCAAGCAAGTTCATACAGGCCGTTCTGCACGAGAAGTAAGGCACTCGATCCTCATCACAAAATAATTGACTAGGGAAATAAAGGCAGAAAGAAGGCTTGTAGAAAACCAGTTCGAGTTCAGGAAGGATCAGTAAGCTTTTTCTGCCGTAGAGTTGGTCTTGATGCACGTTCAGAAAGAAACGAGAAAAGGTGCCTTCGACCTTTATTGAGTTATTCTGCTGGATGAAAAAAATGTCTTCGACTCTATGAACTGGGACATGATCTTAGACATTCTAGGGGCGAATGAAATATGTCTATATCTGCGAACTCACCTTCGCCAGTCATCTAAGTGACCGAGGTTGCACCGAGAACCACACTGAATACAAAGTAACAGCGGAACTGCCACAGAACTCGATCTTAGAAACAGTTCTGTGGAATTTCGTCTATGACAGAATGCTCAGACTCCCTATATGGTCTAGGTTTTAATACGGGCATATCCACACTTCGTTCCATGCTAGGATTTAGCCGTCTGCTGGAAAGCCTAACGGCGATGCTGGACGTAAAACTCGATACATAAAGAGACTACCTATTTCAGAACGAGTAAACACATTAGCCTATACTGAAGACCTAATAAACTTAGTAATTATTAACACGACCGAAACGGAACTAGAAAATCAAACAGCTAAAAGCATAGCTTTTAACAATGTGGCAGGCTGGATGAACAGATATCAGCTTGTCCTAGCACCTGGCAAAACAGAAGCCATATTACTTATTGGCAGAAAAAAAGCGGAAACGTAATCATAAATCT